AAGGGAGATCCTTCTCGACATGCGGGAGATTTTCTCGCTTCGGAGGACTCGGCCTCTTACCCACTACATAGCCTACAGGACCTGAACAGCCGCGGCTCTCCTGCGAATATTTCAAATGGACTACTCGTGGAAGTCGTGGAAGTCGTGGAAGTCGTGGTAGATCGGGTCGAGGTCCTCGGTCGCAGGTCGGTCGAAGCAAAATAGACTCGGGTGGCTCTCCTGCGACTCCTCGATGACTCTTTCTTAACCGACCGGCCCTTCATCCCTCCCCCCATCCAGTCCCATAATAAAAGAAGGCAGATTAATGCCTTCGGTCTTGAATCCAATCAACATTATTCCGACAATAGTCCGCCAGCCAATGGCCTGGCTCTCTCTCTCTCTCTCTCTCTCTCTCTCTCTCTCTCTCTCTCATTCTTCGATATTATCAACATTCAGACACCCCTGCACCCTCCACCCTCCACAGCCTCTGCACTCGCTCTCTCACCCCACGAGCAGGTTCTCTCGCCTTACAGGTTCGACCCACCCTCGCTGAGAGGAGGTTCGATCTTAATTCTACGAAGCGTGCGATAAGTATGCTAACTTCGGCAGCGCCGGGAGACAGCAGGAGCGGCACCCGCAGCCAACCCCTATTATAAAGCTTGAAATTAGCGGCATGTTCGTTGGAAAAAAAAAGTCTGGGGAGGAAGGTATGGCAGGTTTCGACGTTAATGTCTACCAGACGCACCATTAGCCGATCGGATGATAGCCAGGAAAGTCTTTCTTAATCAGCGCCGAGATAAATCGTCCTTGCGCCTCGCGTCATTCGGATCATCCGGGTCCACGTCCTTCCTTCCCTTGGACAGAAGGGAGTTGCAGCCTTCATGCTATAATGGGGGCAAATACACAGGGAGCGAGAAGTGTTTGCGTCTGCGATGTGTGACGCTGTGACGCGGTGGCGCGGTGGTGCTGGAGACATTTCGGAACCTATAAAGGAGTGTTTTACGAGGGAGGATAACGCGATGAAAGATGCGACCTCTGGCCAGTCATGCCTAAAGAGTACGTGTGTAACCGGAGCATCCGGCTTTCCCTCTGGATAGTCGGGCCCGTCGTCTCTTGCGTCCCACTATCCCCAGTAGCCATAATATATCAATTCCGTATTCTAATGTCCAGCGGTTAATTCAAAAAGTGCCAACGCTGCGGAATCTAAGCGGTGGACACCGTCAGCGAGGTAAGGGAGGGCACGCTTTCCTGGGGATCCTAAAGGATCTCCCCTCTCTCTCTCTCTCTCTCTCGCCTGCGACGGAATGGGGATGCCTGCATGTTCCGCAGGACGACGTCGGTCACGACGCCGGACAAGTCGTCCCTCCGTCACGTATGACTTGCTGATACATGCGAGATTTGCACGAGGTTGATCCTCTCGCCCATTCGGCCTGCTACTTCCACTCCCATGTAGCCTTGTACTGCCGTCGCTACTACCGGAACTTTCTAGCCCCTTTTCAGATAATTGGGAGAATGCGTGTTTGTGGTCGCTTTGGGACTCCTCGAAGAAGTTGCCACGCTTACGCCTTAACTTCCAGAGCTCCCCCCACCCCCACCCCAACCCCATCTCCCTCTCTCTCTCTCTCTCTCTCTCTCGCCCTCCCCATTTCCTCCTCCGCGCATTGTAGGATATCTAATTTCGTTTGACTGTACCTGCTCGAATAATCTCAACTGCGCCAGCAGCCTCACTGCTGCTCTTCTCTCACAGTTCAGTCGTTGATGCAGCACTTCTTTTAACACGTTTGCGTTTCTATCAATCAACTTTCAACGTAGAGTACTTCGGAAGGCGATATAGGCAACCGAGTAAAAAGCCTGGAGCAACTATTGAAAAAAAAATGGGCACCGAGTCAAATTTTCAGTGGCAGTAAATAACGTGGAAAAAGGAGTTGGTGGTCGACACGTTCTCTCTTCCCTGTTGAGTTGTGAGCTTCTCGCTCGTTCTCCTTTTTCCTCCACTTCACCCCTTCACTTCCCTATCTAGAGTAAAAACCCTCTCGGCGAACGTGGTCTCAGATAAAAAATTAGCCGGAGTTGCAAACGTTTCCACCTTAAATCATATATTTATCGCGACATTAATTCAACCCTTTTAGGTCCCCTTTTTTCCTGGCGGATGGCGGCTCGCAGTCCGGCCCCACGCCTCCTGGACGACAGCCCGTTACCTCGCTAATTTCTCAGATTCAAGTATTTTTATGTACCGCCACGTACACCCTGGAACCCCGCTGGAACTGTAGAATCGTGGAACCGGGCTAAATCCTCTCGTTTATTATTTAGAGAGGGTCGCCCTCCGACGTTCTATACGTGCGGCACGCACCTTTCTCTCACCCCTACCCCTACCCCTACCCCTCCTCCTCCTCCTCCTTCTCCTCCACCATACTTCTTCCCCTACCATTACACACCACTTTCTCCCTCTGCTCTCTTTTCCCTTCTTTCCGTCCCTCCTCTCTCCCTCTTCACGTGATACTCCACGTATTATCTCTTCTTACTTTTCCGCCCTCGATCGGCTATCTTGACCCCCGTTGCGTTAGCACCCGGCGAATTAACGTCCGCACCATTTTTTTCGCTTTATCGGGCTTTGGAGAGCGAGAAAAAGCGAAGAAGGGAAAAACGAGAGTCGATCAGCGCGCAGGTATCGACGACGACGACGACGACGACTTTGAAACCTACGTGCCAACTGATGACGAGGCAACGTTGTTTATTTAATAAATATATACACGTCATGCATAATGCCTCGACCGGCTGGGCCTATTTTTACCGGTACCCTTGTTGTCATAGGACCGAAATTCCCTTTTTCCCCTCGCAAGAGCATACGATGTGCTGTGCCTACCTCATTCTCAACAATACACCAGTGCAATAGAGAGTCGGAGGTTCCCCGCCGCTATACTGGACCGAAAACTCATCTCTAAAGGAATTAAATTAATTCCAATAAATCCTCCAAACACACGAGGCTCTATGAATAGTACAAACATGAACATTCAAATTGGCCTCCAGCCCTTAAATCTCATGAGAGGCCGATCGTGAGATTTCTGCTTTCTAGCGTTGCTTTATACTTGGAATATCCAGCCAATATTATAATGTTTCTTCTTCTAATGTTTTCTCGGTACATTTCCGCACACTCGGATCGTTCGAGCTCCGATCGTTCAGGCTGCACATTTACCCGTAGCATCGCACAGCACCGTGTAGTGGCTACAGTGCCGAGCAGCATAGCTAGCATATGGCATATTGAAACACAGGCCAGTGCGACGCATGCATACGCATGCATCCCTGGACGATTATGTAATTTCATTGTTGGCGAGAATGCTGCGAGTCGCACGGATGCTTGGCACTACAGTCCCAAAGAGGGTAGCAGAAAAGGAAGTTTCACTACGAGTCTGTCCGTATCTCGGCTTTTCGGTCTCCACGTCGAAATGGGTACCGCGGAGTCTCGAAGTCTCGACGTCCCTGGATAGAAAGAAGGAGAGAATACGAGACGGGCGGGCGCGCGCGAGAGTGAGAGCGAGAGAGAGAGAGAATATAAGCGCAACCGGTGGATAGAGATAGAGAGCGTGGGTCTTTGTCTGCTGCCTGCGAGACTCTCCGAGTGCGTGAGAGAGTGTGTGATGGTGGGAGTGGGCCAGGCATGGTGCGGGGCCGGAAGGGAGGTAAAAGGAGGCCTGTTGGTTGGTTTCAACTATATTTGTTTATATTTACACAATAAGCAACAGCCCCGCCGGTTGGGTTGCTCG